GAGAAAGCCAGGCCTGACTTCTGAACGTGCAAACACAGTCTGGCAGCAAGTCTGGCTCCCCTGGGCACGCACCCACCCCCTCGGTTAATAAGAAAAGTGTGCTTGTTGTGGGGTCCCTTTTTGTGGGAAGCTTCTAGAAACCCCAGAAATCCCTCTTTGTATTCAAGGTAGATTAAGAAAGATGAGGAAGAAGAACTAGAGCAGCTAAGAGCACGGGCTGTGGAGACAGGCACCACAGAAGCTGTCACCCTCAGGGCCCGAGCCTCAGTTTACTCACCTGTCAAGTGGGGATAATAGGCCAAGTGCGCTTGGCGGTGAGAACTAAAGGGAAAACGCATAAAGATGTGTTTTTGCCCAGCACCTGATGAATAATAAAACACATGGAATGGTTCCTAAACAGGGGAACAATTCCATGGCCCTACTCCGGTGCAGTGCTAGTCCCCAGCTGCCAAAGAAAAAGCGGCCCTCCTGTCCGCTTGCTCGGGACACCCCTGGTCCTATGTCCTTGCGCTCATCCGTCCCCGGCCAGGACTGACTGGGGGACGTGGAAAGCGCTGTCCGGGTTCTGCGTGTGGGGCGGGCACGCGGGAGGGTGACACTGTGACTTGCGAGTGGCTGGGGAAAGGCCTGGGCCGCTGGGGGAGGCGCCTCGCGAGCGCGGGGAGGTTTACAAGGCCCTTCCCGAAGGGTTAATGGTCCCGGTGATTTATCCCATGGGAGCCACCGCTGGAGGGAGAAGCGGCTCCCAGCCCCCCCCCCCTACACCCAACCTTTCATCTTCCCCATGGCCATAAATAACCTCATCCCGGCCACACAAAGGCGCGGCCCTCGGCCTGCAGGACGGGGCTTCTCCGGGGGCCTCCGTGCCCGGCGTGGCCGGGACCTGGAGCCTCGGGCCACCCCGCAGCGTGGGGAGCTTCGGGGAGGAGCAAGGTGGGCGTCCTGGGAGACTGAACTGCTCTGAGCGCTTACAGACAGGCCGGCCTTCCCTCGGGAGCAACCGGGAAGGGTAAAAATGTCCACCTGGGTGCAGGCTCATCCCAGCACCCAGGAGGCCGAGGCAGGAGGATTGCTGTGAGTTCGAGGCCAGCCTGGGCTACCCAGCAAGACCTTGTCTCAAGACAAACAAACCAACAAACCTCCACACCCGCTTTCAGACCGTGGTGGCCCCAGGACTTTCCACATGGAAGCCGAGGTCAGATAATTTGCATCTTCCAAGGTGGGAGAAGCTGGCCACAAATGACCAGGGGCCCTTGCGATGGGGCCAGCGCTGCCGCGTGATGGAATGGTTAGCATTACGCATTTCATTTTCATTAATTTAAATTTAAATCAACGAGCCGGGTGTGGTGGGGCACATCTGTAATCTCAGCTCGTGGGAGGCTGAGGTAGGAGGATCACCACGAGTTCGAAGCCAGCACTGCCTGGGACAGAGTAGGGCCACGGAATTGTTCTCCTGTTTAAGAACCATTCGTTGCGTTTTAATATACGCCCCGAGCTGGGCAAAGGCACATCTTTATGCGTTTTCCCTTTAGTCCTCACCACCAACTGGAGTGGCTATTATCCCCGTTTGACAGGGGAGTAAACTGAGGCTCAGGCCCTGACGGTCACAGCTTCTGTGCTGCCTGTCTCCACAGCCCGCAGTGAGACCTTGTATCAGATATACCAAAAAATAAAAATAAATTTAAACCAAGGGATGGAACTGCTGACATTTCATTTTCATTCATTTAAATTTTAGTAGCCACATCTGACTACTCACTGCCATGTGGGACCCGGCAGTTTTATTTTTATTTTTATTTATTTATTTATTTATTTTTTCCGGTACCGGGAATTGAACTCACGACCTTGCATTTGCCAGGCAGGCGCTGTGCCACTGAGCTAAATCCCCAGCCCCTACACGACAGTTTTAAACCAATAAGCAGCAGGTGGCCGTGAAATATGCCACTGTAACGTGTATTTGCTGTTGCTTTTTCAGAGCCCAGTGACACGGAGAGTCCTTTCCCAGCTCTGGGCCTCTGCTCTGCGGGTGTGCACTGTTCACAGGGGGGCTCACGCTGCCCCAGGGTTAGGAATATTCTACATCAATAGGCCCTTGTTTGCATTCTTTATTTTTATTTATTTATGGTCTTTTTGAGACAGGGTCTCACTACACAGTTCAGGCTGGCCTTGAGCTCACTTTGTAGCCCAGGCTGGCCTCGAACTCGCCACAATCCTCCTGCCTCAGCCTCCTGGGTGAGTGCCGGGATTACAGGCGTGCGCCACCATGCCCGGCTTCTTTGCATTCTTTACCCATGCAAGCCCACAGAAAATCTGGGCACTTGGAATGGAGCACTGCCCTGCCGTAAAGAAGGGTAAACTTGAGCCATCTGTAGGAAAATGGATGTACCTTGAGACCGTCATGTTAAGTGGAGCAAATCACACACACGAGCTTAAATATCACATGGCTCTCCTGTAGGGAAACCTCAATATACAAACAAAGTGCAAAATACAAGACAGGCAATCGGGAAAGGGAGAAAAGAGTTACTGTAAGCCAGCATGGATAATGTATCTAAAAG